ACATGAATAATGATAAAACAGATCAAGTAAGTAGTAATATGGCACTCTGATAAAACATGATGAATAACCTTCTTTACCCCTTAGGTTTAACATGATACCTGGGCGAATTGGTTGCCAGTGAGGGTTATACATGGATTGGGAGTCAATTTGGTTAGCAGACAGCAATGAAAGAACGGCACGAGGGAAGTCAGCTAGAGGCTTGTAAACCAGCACCACTTAGTGGCAGGTTTAGAAGACATTAATGGTAATAAAAATAATGATAATTTTGTTAAGAACAATAATAATTATAATAATAACTATCATTATTATAATAGTAATAGTAATAGTAATGTAATATATATTTTTATATTTGTGTTAATATTAAAACAAACAAACAAACACACACACATTATATATACATACATACATATATATATATATATATATATATATATATATATATATATATATATATATATATATATATATATATATATATATATATATATATATATTCATATAAATATCATATACTGATAAACATATTCTATATACACACATGTATATATACACACATACCTATATATAAATCATATATATATACATACATACACACATATACACACAAACATACATATACATATATGTATAAATTTACATACATACATATATATGCATAAATATACATATGTATAAATTTACATATATATGCACACACACGGACATATATACATATATACATATATACATATACATCACACACACACACACACACACACACACACACACACACACACACACACACACACACACACACACACACACACACACACACACACACACACACACACACACACACACACACACACATATTCAAGATTACGGTTGCTTCCCTAAGGGTAGAAAAATAAAGATAAATAAATAAATTAATAAATACTTCTCCCAAGTTCATGAGAGAATGCTAGAAGTGTAATTCTTTTTAGTCCAGATGAATTCGCTAGAGACAAAGTCCCAAACTCCACATCTCAACATTTTTTTTTTTTTACAACAATATAAGCTGTTGTGACTGGGCAAGCTCAAGGAGAGGGTTGATGGGGGGGGGGGGGGGGGATTAAGCCTCCCACCCCCCATATATATATATAGGGGGTGGGTGTAATTTGGCAGGAAGGGGGGGGGGGTACAGGAGGCTTGTCCCCCTGTCTAGGGAATAAATAGAAGGTAGGAAGGGTTAGATTTGGATTTCTGGGTTTGCATGATAGCCTAGTTTTGGGACCTCGTCTCTGGAGTCTGTGTTGCAAATACCATCCTTCCCTTTACTGGAACCATTACCATTTGTGTCTGCAGATTGCAACTTTTGTCCTTTGCAAGACTATTATCTTCAATTTGCTCTAGCTTAGTGTGTTTATATTGTAAAGATTAATCACCTGAATTTTTAAATAAATTCAAACATAAGAATGCTATTACAAACACTAACCTTGACTTTCTTTTTTATTTTTATCTGCTGTCTTCTTCTTATCTCCTTTTTTCCCTGCTTTGTCTCCATCCTTCTTCTTTTCTCCTTTCTTGTCACTATCTGTATTCTCTCCCTCACTCTTTCTATCACTACTGTCCTTCCTAGGGGGGGCATGGGAGTGGGAGTGGGAGTGGCTACCCTTGAAGATACGGACAAATTTCTCCACCATAAGGAAGGCGATGATCCCTCCAAGAACCGCAAGGCCAATGCTCATGTCATGCCCATGGCCTCCTTCTCCATTGCCTCCATGGGAGTGGGAGTGGGTGTGGGAGTGACTGTGACTGTCGCTGCCTCCCATTCCAGCCTGGGCCATCAGAGCGTGGGGAATGAGATGTAGGAATGCGTCTCCCAGGAGGCCGCCAGATGCAAATGCCAGCAGGAGCTTCAGGTACGGCTCGTGCTCTTTGGTGTTGTTGACGGGAATGAAGAACAGAATGAGGTATGGGGCGATGCTGATGAGAATCGTGGCTCCAATTGCCTCGAGCCAGATGTTGCCCGACTTGGCCGGTGGAGGCTTCATGTGGGCTTCCTTCTGAGCATCTGCGTAGGCTTCATTAGCTTCCTTGCTCCACTTATGGGCTGGGGGTTCATGTTCATGTGCGTGTCCGTGCCCATGGTCATGAGCATGTCCGTGCCCATGATCATGTGCATGTCCGTGCCCATGATCGTGTGCGTGTCCGTGCCCATGATCGTGTGCGTGCCCGTGCCCATGATCATGTGCATGTCCGTGCCCATGATCGTGTGCGTCTGGCTCGTTATAGGCCTCATTGGCCTGGCGACTCCACTTGTAAGCTGGAGGTTCCTCATGATCATGACTATGCCCATGGCCGCACACCAGGGGGAGCGAGAAGAAAATAAAGATAACTAACGTGAGAGGAATCGCCACACTGACGATGAAGCGCCTGAGAGAGCCCATGGCGGCAGACGACACAAAAAGGGCACAAATCTGGCGTGAGCTGCCTGCTGGACGCGGGCCGGTCGCTGGGCTGTCAGGAGGCGGCCGGGGGA